GTTATTGCCCTTTAACTTCTTTATACTTACTATTAAACCTTATATCTTGAAAACTATAAATGGTAGAAGCATGGGGTTAATTGCAATGAGACCATTGACCTTTGACCTTGAAAATTTTTTCAAGGTCAAAGGTCAAGGTCATCAATTTTTTTTTTTTTTTAATTTTCATTTTTTTTTCAAGCCATTTCCCTTAAAATTAAATTAAGAAAGTAAAATATAAAACTATGAGAAATTTAAAACGGTGGAAAGACCTCTTATTGTTCTGTGAACAATAAGTCTCCTAGTTTTATTTATTTTTTTTTTATTTATTTACAAATAATAAAATTAAATAAAAAAATTAACATATTAAACAAAACATCTGTATCTATTTATAAATACACTTTTTATTCTGTTGAAAGCACACTTACCTTACATTTAAGTTTTCAAACTTAGTTAAAGTAAAAAATGATTCCAAAGAATTATAAGATATACTTTTAAAAGATCTTTTCTAAAAAAAAAAAAAATCACATATGATATACACTAATTTATCTACACCCTAAACTGATAATTACCACATTTTGAATCGCTAGAATGTCATCAAAACACACTATCCTCTGTATTATGAAACAATTAAAACAATGCATTGTTTGTAGAAATACTCAAAATTAGTCCCCTTCTCCTGACTGTGTTTATAAAACATTAATTGGGTTGGTCTAGCTTGTACTGGCCATGAAAAATCCATTGTATTAATGAAAATAGAAGACATGCAGACATTTTGTGCATAGCAGATCAAAATGTACATCATGTCTACTTTTTCAAAAAGTTTGTCAATGCATTTATTTTTTCATAAGGTACTTATCAATTAATCAAAATAGCTTATATAATTTATTAAAAGATATTTTAGGCAGGGGTTAATATGCCCCCAAAATTAAATTTCTTCATGCTTCAATAGTTACGCAAAAAAGTGGATATTGTACATAACGCAAAATTTTGTATAAATTTCTATTTTTACCCCCCTCCCCCCCCCCCCGAAAAAAGTAATGGTAATGGTAATGCATTACTTTACTAAAATAATGTAATATAATGCATTACTTGAAGAAAATAGAATAACGGTAACGGTAATTTAATGCCCAAATTGTTGATGTAATGGTAATATAGTGCATTACTTTACAATGTAATTCGCCCCAAGCCTGGTAAATACTGTCAGATAGATATAGGGAGTTTTGCATCATGTTATATGCATAATTATGAAGTACATTAATTATTAAAAAGGGGCGTTGTAAACTCTTCATTCAAATGGGAATGATGAAATATAAACTGGCAAAAAACCACTCCAACATCCCTCCTTTCCACTCCACGATGAAGTTGTCCAAGCCAACATTCACAGAGTGCTGTGATAATGATTTCTTAAGAGAAGCCGTTTCAGCTTAAAGGCCTAGGATAAAGAAAAAAAACAACTTTTTAGTAGGTGTGATGGGAACAAAATCTAGATCGGTGAGTATCTTTTATAATACATAAGGAGCAAAAAAGGAAGATCTACGTATTTCAGTCATACACTTTTTCAAGTTACATGTATAACCTGGGTTTGAACGAGTTTGTACTTAGAAGATATAAAGCGTACATTGCCTCAACTCAAGTTATAACTAAAACAGTAAGAAATTCATGTTTACTTTTTGGGGGGAAAACGATCAATTAAAAAATTAGTACTTGAATACATAGTCATTAATACCTTAACTCTTTCAGAGCATCATTTGAGGGATATTATTTTTACATATTTGTCCATTGAATTGCAAAATGATAAGTATAGATTGTAAGAATAAAAATGGATGGTTTTGAAGGAAAATCCTCGTTCTTAAAATAAGCATCTCTTGTAGCAATGACAAAACATACGAAACAGTTTAAATATTCAGTATCCTATGTTCTAAAAGCATAACAATTTTCTTCTTTAAGTGATATACGATTAGATTGGTTTAGAATCAAGCATGGATAATGGACTAATTTACATTCGTTCGGATCAGGCGTTGGCCCGATTATAAAGAACCCTCACTGCTCAATGGCCCTTAGTGCCGAGTATAGGTCTATATATGGATGTCAACCAATTAACATACAACCAATCAATCATAAATCGGTGGAAGAATGATACAATTCAACTTGGATATGGATCTTTGGTCTAAAACAGACATGCGAATTTAAAATTAGTATGCCATCAAGAACACGGTTTACTATTTTTTTTCTTGTATTTTTTTTACTGTGATAAATAATTGTATAAGGTTAATGAACTTATAGTAAACATTCAACACGACAGTTCAGGTAAAAATTTACTCTTTGTCCTACATTGTCACGAAGTTGCATAATTTGTATACATCATTTCCAACATTTCAAGGTAAGGAAATGGAATAATTTACGATGTAGATTGGAAAAAAATAAAATGAAAGCCCTGGAGTAAAGTACGTATGGGACAGATTCAGCTATGTACATTACTAAAAAACAGTCATATATTTAAACAATAAATTGCTTTCCTTGCTTGTTAGTAAGGTAGTTACTATCGCAGCTGTTGCAAAAAGAAAAAAAACGCGCTTATTTTTTTCTGGCAATGGTTGCGACGTTAAGGTCAAGATCTAGTAAATGAAAGGTGCGTACAGATTTATCAAACTTGAGAAATAAATTCTTTTATTGATGCTTTACAACTTTAGCTTGGTCAAATAAGGTGTTTCGGGGCATAATTTGTAGGTAAACAAGATGAAAAACTGTATTTTAAACTGTCATTTTCAATGAAAAATTAAGAAAACAAGTCATGAATATAGGAGTTTTTTTCGTATTCGGCAAAGGAAATGTATCCAGATTGCCTACAGTCTCTCAGAAAACGGTAATTAGTTAGCCTCTTCTTTAAATCAATATCAAAATTAATATAGGTATCCGGTTTACTTTTCGTATGATTTCAAATTGAATGACATAAAAAAATACCATATTTTCTACATAATTCTGCTATAGCCGTAAAGTACGGGAAAAAGAAAGTTGAAATTGATTATGACGTCATAATGACGTCATAATGGATCTACCACCAAAAAAATTAGTCTCAAGTTATTTACTAGACCTTAATTCCCATTCTAAAAAACAAAGAAAGACACTTTATTGTTTATATTTACATTTGTATGGAAAAAAAAACATTCAAAGTAAAAAAAAATATTGTATTATAAACGTTTATGTCATTGTATGCATAACTGTTGGAACAGCCATGGTTCAAATAATCTTTGCATGTCGTTTATGGACTTATTAACGGCAATGGTCTTCAAAGGCAATAAAGCTAATAATATTCATTGTATGTAAATATTCCGGTATACATATTGTAGATGAAGAGTCTGGAAAGTAGAAATTAAGTTGTCCATTTGCAGTTACGCAGCATCGTTTTTGACAGTGGGGGTCCAGCCAGAGAATTTTTTTACTAACCTGAAAAAGTTGACCAGCCAAGAAAGGGATTATCGCTCTAGATCAAAAATCCTAGTTTGGAGGGGGCAGGGAAGAGGCCAACTTTTTTTAAAAATAAAAACTTCTCTCAGTACCAAATTTTTTGCATACTATTCTACATTGTAGGTGTTCCCCACACCATCCCCTGCTGATACGTAACAGTTACTGCATTTGCATTTATCATACTGTGGAATCTGCTTAGTTGAGAATGTAGAGGATATTAATATTTTATCTGTATAAATGCTTATGAATCAAACAGATAAACTGTCAAAGCAAATGATTACATTTTTTTCTGAAGCCTTTAACTACATGCAGATTTACTTTACATTATGGATGAAAATCTGACATATTTTGTTATGAATTCGAACATGAAAACTGATTAAATACGGGTAGATATATATAGGGAGTATATACGGGTAGATATGAATAGGGAGTATATACGGGTAGATATATATAGGGAGTATATACGGGTAGATATATATAGGGAGTATATAGTATTTCTGTATATCACACTGTATATGTGATATACACATGTATATAATAATGTAGTTGTACACTAATTAATCTATACTGTAGGGGCGACGTAAAATGTTAATTCAAATGGGAATAATGAAATATAAACTGAAAACAATACTCCAACAACCCTCTATTCCACTCCACAATGAACTTGCCCAAGCCAACATTCACAGGAAACTATGATAATGATTCTTTTTTTAGAGAAGCCGTTTCAGGTCACCTGTATAAAAGACTAGGATAATCAGAAAACAATTTTTGTGTGGTGTAGTGGGAAAACATTCTAGATCGGTGAGTATCTAAATACACAAGTAACAAAAAACGATGATCAATTAACGTATTTCAATGACATACTTTTACTGGTTACATGTTATAACATATGGGTTGGAACTACTTTTCACTTTAAAAAAATACCTTTTAAGGTTTCGTCAAAGGTCAACTTGTCCAAAAACTAGGTGAGGTATAAAGTTACATTTTTTACAGTTTATAAATATGTTGATTAACAGAAAGAAAGTATCACATGAAAACAAATATTTTTTTGTTTTAAATTTTGAGAAAAAAAGGTGTCAAAAAATGTATAAATCTAAAAAAAATGCACCTGCATGATTTTGTCCTTTTTGGTGAAACCAATCATTGCAGAAATAATGTATGTTTATCAATGAGGGGCAAGTTGGACGGGAATGGTCTCTGAGAAGCTCATATTGAAAGCATGACATGTCTAAAGACATGATCCCTATAATATTCGCCATTTGCATTGTACCTTCGGTTTCAAGTCTTAATATTTGGACAAAATAAACACAGAAAACAACTTACCAGAGGCTATCGAAGTCCAATTAAGATTGATGAACATCTATTTTTTTTCTGCAATGATTGTTTTCAGTAAAGTCAAGTCATTAATTAGGTGTATTTATTAAAGATATATGCATTTTTAATAAAGAATTTTTTCACAAATTTTTTTTTCTAAGCATTTGTTATCAAGTGATACTTTTCTATCTGTTAATCAATAATATATTTATAAACTGTTTTAAATTTATGATTTAAACCACATACTTTTGGAGTTATATTGTAAAAATAAATTTTTGGACATGTTGACCTTTGACGAAACCTTATAGGACTTCGCCAGCTCAGGTTATGTACAGAATAACGGGAGTTGCGATCAAAGTACTATATACAGGGGCATTTTCGCCCCTTTCGTCCTACGAAATTTAGGCCAATTTAAAACGGGCGAATTCACAGAATACAATATAATTTCTTAAACAGAACGATGATATGGTGAATTTAAAAAGTGGCAAAATTGTTTGCAATTGTGAATGAACGAAAACAACATGAAGCGAAAATAACCCTGTACAGTATCTCTCAGAATATGTATGAAAAAGGTACTATAAAATTCTTTTAATGATTTTTCTATTGGCATTTAGTACTAGTAAACTCTGATTCAGGTGGGTGTAATTTTCAATCTCTATTCTAAAATCTTAAAAAACTTTATTCAAGGGATTTTATTTATTTATGTTTGGGCATTTAGTTGCGGATTGATAAGCAATTTTACAGATTGCAGGAATAAATATTGGTGGTTTTTGAAGGAAAAACTTCGCATTCTTTAATAATCATTCGTTACACAGTAATGAAAAGCATGCATAGACCGTTAGAAAAAGTCCAGTATCTATATCCTAAAAGCATCACAACTTCCTTCATTACAGATATACATGTATGCAGTCAGATTGGTTTAGGGACAGGCATGGAGAGTGGACTAAGTTACATTCGTTCAGATAAGGCCTCCTCAGCACCTTACACAACAGTACCAAAACTCTTACAAAAATGGGCGTCTCTGAAACCAGACCAAGAAGCTTTCGTGTTCTACAACCAAGACCTAATACGGAGATCGATTACATATGACAGGCTTTATAAGGATTCTGTTAAACTGGCGAAAGGACTTGTACGTAAAGGCATTGGGAGCGAGGATATCGTGGGAGTCGGAGGAAACAATACTCCAGAATGGCTGGTGAGCACTTTTGCTGTACAACTAGCAGGTGCCCGTCCAATTCATTTCCCCTTCTTGGACAAGGCGGGAAAAGGAATTAAGGATTTGTTGAATAGTGTTGGAGGTTGTTCGATGTTGATTTTTGACCCAGGACATGAGGATAGCCACTGGAAAATAATCCAGAACCTTGCTACAGTTGATCCAGAAACAGGCTCTGTTAGAAAGTCTGATGTAGCTTCTCTTAAATGGGTAGTACTGGAAAGTCCCTTGGCTACGTCGCAAAAAGTTCTGACAATCTCTGATCTTTTTTGCGATGAGGAAATTAAACTACCTACAATAGATCCCGAAGACATTGGAGCTATTTTAACGACATCGGGTAGCACGGGGCGTCCAAAACCAGTAGAATATAGCCATTATTACATTATGCAAAATGGAAAAAGAATGGCCAAAGGTGGGGATGTGGATAGTTTAATAGAAAAAGGGAAATCATTTCTATATTTTAACGACCGACCATTTTTTTGGTCCGGGGGATATCCATGGAGTGCAATCATATATGGAGGAACACGCATTACTCTTTCGACTACACTGGCATTTCCGTCAATTTCCGACATGATCAATTTTTCATCCAAGATCATAGAGCGAGAAAAACCAAACGCAGGCTTATTTATGGTTCCTTTTCTGCTAGAAATCATTTCGAGGGAATAGTTTCCGTGAAATTCCATTCAGTCATTATCTCAGGCCAACTTGTACCAGAAAAATGTTTAGATGGAATTGGAAAATTTTATGACGTCGTTTGTAACCTTTATGGAACCACAGAGAACGGAATATTGGCAACAGAATTTCATCGTTCGTCTTCTCTTTCATTCGGGATGGTTCCGACTGATGGAATGGAAATTAAAGTCGTAGATGCTGATAACAAGATGCTTCCCCTCGGAGAGAATGGTGAAATACTTGGCCGTATGTGCCCTTCGTTCAGGGGGTACTTAAAGAATGAAGAGCAAACCAAGAAAGTACTCACCCAGTCTGGGTGGTATAAAACAGATGATTTTGGTCACATTACTAAAGATGGTCGATTGAAAATACTTGGAAGAGTGTCGGACATGATGTTGATTGCAGGATCTAATGTCTTACCATCTGCCATCGAATCTATCATAAGGAAACACCCAGGGGTACAGGATGTTGTCGTTTTCCCAATTAAAGATGTGAAGCATGCAGACGATATTCCTTGTGCTGCCATTGTTAGGAAGGACGGAGTGAAGTTTAACGAAGAAAGCCTGCGTGAGTTTGTCCTCAAAGACTTAAACATCGACAACGAGGCTGTTTTTCTCGAAAATTTATTTGTTCCCAAATACATTGTTTTTCATAACACGGATCTGCCAAAAACACCAAATGGAAAGACGGACAGAAAAAAAACTCGCGATTTGTCCATTCCTTTGATCAAACAAATTTGAAAATCACTGTATGATCACCAGAATCACAGCTTCGAATTCCCAAGGGGTTTTTTTTTGTAAGGGTTGAGTACTTGTAGCTTATTCTCATGAACTACTGCCAATCTTGCCATTTGCAAAAAGCATGCAGGGAATAAAAAGTTATAGATCTATATACCGGTATGAGTACCTAACAAATGCCCCTGCCCAAGGACCTAAGTATGTCCCTGTTGTTTTTCTGATAAATTAGATGTTTATTACATACTAATTATTAGTTAACCTGGCTTTATTGGGGTGGGCTAAAATTGCCTATTAAAGAGAACACGATAAATGCAACACTATAATATGTGGATTCAAATTTGGTCATATCAGTTTTGAGCTTTTATGATCACATTCTGTCTGTCCGTTCGTATAGCTGTCCATCCGTCTGTAAACTTTTCACATTTTCGACTTCTTCTCAAGAACCATTGGGTCAATTTTAACCAAACTTGGTACAAAGCATCCTTGGGAAAAGGGGAGTTTAAATTGTTAAAATGAGGGTTCAAGTCCCGTCATAGAGAGAAATAATAATAAAAAAAAAAAGACAAAATTAGGGTGGGGTCTTAAAAAATCTTCTTCTCATGAACTACTATGCCAGAAAAGTTGAAACTTTAAAGATTAAACTTTGAAAGTTTAGAGAACAATAAGGGCTGGGGGATATAGGTGAGTGTTGTGGTCCACGGACCTTTTCTTGTATTATTTGCCTAATAAGCTATGTTCTTAAAGGTAGATTCAAAGAATATATTTTTCTACATACAGTAACCTAGATTGTTTTTTTAAATATTGTATCATACATATAGCTTATATAGAAAATAACTACATGTAATAAGTTTGTAAAGATGACATTGCAATTGTTATTTTATTATCAAATAATGGCAACTATACATTGATATGCATTGATACACATATTATTATTTTTATTCACCCATTTCATTGATTGAATGTACATGTTCAATTTATGTCAAGGTAGGCTGCAATGATTTGTTACGAATATTCATGTCAATGTTTGACGATATACTCAGTATTTTTACTCAGAGGATTTTAAGTGTTCATGTCTTTAAAAATCGTTCAAAGAAACAAGGAGCTACAATAATTTAGTCTAAATTGTAAACATATCAGTTGTGATTTTTTGCTTGAATAAATCCCTTACTCAAGATTCACTGTTACATATTTTTCTCAGCAGCACGCTTGAGCTGAAAGTCTTAGTGAGCTTTTTTGATTACATCTTCATTAGACTATGTTTGCCTGTCTCTCTGTAAACTTTTTAAGAACACTTTTTAACATCTTTCTAGAAACATTGGGCTAATTTCAAGCAAACAGCATCCTTGGGGGAAGAGAATTGATGTTGGTTCAGTCGGAGGGTCATGCCCTCTATCAATGATTTGTGAAAATAAATGGCATAATTTGAAAATTTTTTCCAAGAATCACAACATCACATCAGTAAATATTAGGATACATTTCGTATATAATGGAATCGTCTGCAGGTCTATATATAATATTTTACTTACATAATCTTATACTTAAATCTTGTAATCCAGTGTTATCAGAGTCAACACTGTGCGTAAACAAGAAATTTTAGATTTACTTAGGACAAATAATATGCACGTACCTCCAAACTATTATTCTTTCAATAGTTGATGTATTATGATTTTAAAATTGTACGTGTTATCGATAACAAGTGTTATCGGAGTCAACACTGTGCGTAAACAAGAAATTTTAGATTTATACTTGGGACAAATAATATGCACATGCACGTACCGCCAAACTATCATTCTTTCAATAGTTGATGTATTATGATTTTTAAAAAATTGTACATTTGATAGACTACAAAAATATTTAGTTCCATAAATTCCTGACAGCGTTCCACGAAATTACTAGAAAAAATAGAGCCAATCAATTGATCATCTTTTCATCTTCATGACATTGAAAAATCTGACAGTTATTCCTTATATTTACATGCTTTGATTCCGCCAATCCACGTGCTCCAAGCCCTGCTTCTGTCTAGCCGTTTGTACTGCCCTGGACGTGATTTTTTTTGGGGGGGGGGGGGCGCCAATACATTGATGGGGAAATAAAGTACATTTACAATTTGTAATTTTATTTCGGACAAAGACATTGGAAGTGTAAATATTTGCATGTAAGTGTTTGTTTTGGTGCTTAAATCAAATGCCTACTGTTTATAAACCTATATGTAGCCTTTACTTGTGGCAAAGTTTCACCCTTCAAACCACTTCACATTTTTGAATGGATAGTATTACATGTAATAGATTAACCGTTGGTCTTTTGTCTCCAAGAATCACATCAGTAAATATTAGGATACATCTTGTATACAATGCTATCTCCATGTGCATGTAGCTCAGTTGATATAGCACCTGCATAGCTATACAGGGGTATTACACTGTAGGTTCAATACCTGGTCCATAATTTTAAACATCAAACTTTCTTGCATCCTTTTCTCAACCATTGACTTTTTTGTAATGTTCTAATAATTTGCATGAAAGGCGTGAAATTCCCATTTTTATGAAAGCTTGATATTAGAATTTCTTCTAATGATTGATAAATAGGTGTATAAAATATAGCACTTCTACATATATACAATTGAGCTCAAGACTGTATTAGTTTCTCCAACTTAAATTATGGAAAAGGAAGCAAACTTTATATCAGTTGCATATACACACTTCCTGAAAAGAGTAATCAGATATTGAGTTACGTTAATGTCAAATGCCAAGAAATGTACTTTTGCTGTGAATGAAAATTTCTACAAATCTGCACATGAATGTTTTTGATTTAATATGACTAGTATTCTTTCCCAACTATTGTACACATCTAATGTGTTTTCGAACACATTTCAATGAGTCCTTTTAATGTCTTGTAAGTTTTCGTTAGCAAATTATAGGACAATGTCCAATGTAACAAATAACAGTCAGTATCACTAAATAAACATAATTTATTGCACATAGAGTCTTTAAAAATCATTTTTTAAAATGAAAAATTGAAATTGCTATTCCAACATGACTAGTACGAAACATTAAAATGTGAATACAAAGTTTAAATATTGAAAATAATGTCATGAATATTATAACAGTAATAATTAAATCAGTTCCTCAAAAACACCCATAAACTTGATTCTCAATGTAGGTTCCCAAGCACTAATCCATGAATTCAACAAAACGTCGCTACAACAGGAAGGTGGTCAGAGGCAGCTTTTTGTCTTAAAAAAAGAAGATAATCTGAACAATAAAATATTTGCTTTAATTGTTGATAAAGGAATTAATGTTGCAGCTGTTGCCTGTTGCAGAAAAAATATATAACCAGCGTAAGCAAGTTAATTTTTTCCATGCTGCAATAGCTACACATTAATTCCCATATTACAAACAATGATAGACATCTTTTAATTCATATTTATATACCTGTTTAAATAATCATATAAAGTAGGATTAAGTACATTAAATATTATATTATTTAAATGTATATTATTGTGTGTTTGATTGATGGAACAGCCGCTGCTTGCGTAATCTATACAGGTGGTTTGCATAATTGTGTTTACTGATTGATTAACAACCATGGTTTTTATAAGAATTAAAGGAGATAATTTTATTTGATATAGATATATATAACAATTAACAATTTCACAGTACAACATGACATGTATAGTAAACCTAAAAAAATATTTTTTCAATATTTTTAAAACAATTATATACATATAAATATATATTTTATTTAATTGACACATACCCTTTTCCTGAGTGTTGACCAATCTCTATATCTCTGATTTGAAAATCATTATCAAGATTCCATCCAAAAATGTAATCAATCTACAATTTAAAATATATACCCAGATATTTATTGCCTATAAATAAAATCTTTCTTATGAGACGTACAGTGATTTGTTATCATAGCTGAAATGTAAAATGTCAGATTAGAGTAAATGAAATTCTTTAACTTTAAGTTATATTTATAAATGATTTATACAGTGTGAAGAGAGTTTATTGATCAACTTAACTTGGGAATTGTCCCGAAGAACTGAAGAATTGCCTCACCTATAATAATGAAATACCCTGGTTGTTCTGGTATCCCCCCTCAACCCCCTGTTTAGGAAGATACCCCAGACCCCTTTCTACATTTTTTTTATGTTCTCTAAGCTATATCAAGTTAGAAAGAACTCTTGCTAAAGTATACAAAACATCAAGCAATCGCTTAACAACGAGGGTTTCATTCATATATATTACGATCTGGATAAACAATCCATACTCTTTTCTTCAGTTTTCCTTCAGCAATGTTAAAGGTGAAGCCGTGTGACTTAGGATAAACATAGGGACACACATCCACCAAACAAGATGTCTTCTCTCCTTTCAGTGACACTTCACCTCTTAGAAATCTTAAAGATAATTAGAGTAAAATGTCTGATTTGTATTTATTAAGGGATCACTATCTAGTTAGTATAGTATGCCAGGGCATGAAGGATAGTGGGAAACATGGGATAATTTGCATAACATGCAAACTCCGTTATCCATAAATTATCCCATGTTTCCTACTATGATATCGTCAAAGTCTCTGGCATACTCTACTAACTAGACAGAGATTCCTTATATTTCCATTTCATTGTGAAATAAAATTGTAGATTTGGACTTTAAAAATGTTGACATAGATTTAAATTACATGAGGAGTCCCATGCCAATTTCAACAGTCCTTGCCCACTGACATCAAACACAAAGGCCACTGCACAAGATTTCATGCATATTTGGCCTCCTTAGCGTCAGACATAGACAGAAGCGTACGAGATTTGCATGCATATTAGGCCTCTCTAGCTCCTGACCTATCAACCTTTCTAATTTATATTACAGTAGAATTATCAAGAAATCAACTCCGCTTACTTTCATAGACCTTAATTATCACAGAGAAAATAAATTTAGAAATGGAAATATTTAGTTATAAATAAAAC